ATCAGAGATCTATTACTGAACATACGCACGGCAACGTGGAATCTATCTGTTAACCCTTTAACACCCATAAGTGATGAGAAAAAAGAAAAATATCAGTTAGGGGGTTATAAGTTGATCCAATACCAAATTCTCCAAACTAACATCACAAGAACTGTAAGGAGAATTACTAATGAGATCTTGGGAGTTAAAGAGTTAAGTTGATGATTTTTGCCTCTCAGCTGATATGAATCTAGTCAATTTTGAATAAATAATACAGATGTTTCTATTTTTGTTATATGTAGGTGATGATAACCCGTGTAAGGTAATTAATGATGCCGTCACCAAATACAAAAATTTTACAGCGAAGTGGAATGGTATAACAGGAAGTGACCACCTTCCGAGGTATGTCTTGAGTTTATTCCAAGTTCACAAAATATTTTATTTTATTTTCAAACGTGTGAATTTGCAGTGGCTTCTCTTGGTCTTAAAGTGCATTTTGATCGTGTGTCAGGAACCCAAAACCAGAGCAATCAAAACAGCTAACCAGTAATACTGCATATCCCAAAGTAAATACAAGCAAACAGCCTGAAGTGCGGGAAAACGGTTTTGATTTTACATCTGATTGGTTAAGAAAGTGGCGCGAGAAGCTGTTTACCCAATCACAAAAACGTTTGGCAAATCTGAAGCGCGGGAAAACGCGAGTGACCAAACCGCGAGTGGTTTTGATTTTACATCTGATTGATTTAGAAAGTGGCGCGAGAAGCCGTATGCCTAATCCCAGAGCAACGTTTGGCAGAACTATTTTATTCCCAGGTTAATTTCGACACTCACTTTAAAATTGCCTTTAAGAGATGGTTGAACATGGTCTCCATGTACTAAGCATTGAACCCAAAGCTAAATGCTTTCGACGTCTTTCGTATTTATGCCTTTGAGTTGCGTGAAAAATTTTATCGTGAAGATTCTCCCATGTATTTTCTTTTAGTGTGGGTGAATTTCAGCACTTTCTGTCCGAAAGCACTGGCTTTATCTTCTACGGCACCGAAAGATATCTGGGTTGTCTGCCTCCTAATATGCTTGCACCCATAAATGTAACAGGTAAACTTTCTTTTGGTGCGATGATTTTATGAATCTTGACTTTGTGAAGTTGTTTTCCTTCTGTGTACGTGTGTTGTTGGTTTTTTTTTTTTGGCGTTTGCACATCGGAGGTCCTTTAGGGGTGCCCCCTCCCCTCCAGTCCGTTTGGCTCACTGTGTGGTATTTGTTTTATATCTTCTCGGTCAACGTGCGTTTGCTTTATATCTTAAACGGTCAACGTGCTTTTGCTTCATATCTTATAAAGTCAACGTGCGTTTCCCTTCTATGCACCTACAATATGGAATACTCTCATCAATTCTCTTAAAATTGCTGTTTTGTTATCGTCTTGCGAACCTACCTTAAAAATATTTTTATTTCGGAAGTTTTTTCTTTGAACTATGATAATTTTTTTATAGATTAGTTATTTTGTATTGAAGGTTTATTTTATAAGTGACATGTAAGCGCATTGAGACTTAAAATCTGCACATAAAAACATTATTATTATTATTATTGTTGTTGTTATTACTATTATTATTATTATTATTATTATTATTATTATTATTATTATGACTATTATCGCCTTCAGTCATCACATCGAGAATAAGACGACGGTAATTCACTAAACGAAACTCCTGGAAATTTTTTATATGCCACACGATATTGCCAAATGTGATTTGAATGATTTTTTTTTTCCAGACTGTCTCTTGGTTCTTCTGCTGGACTTGGTTCAGACAAGCCAGAGTTTCCTCAGACAGGGAAAAGATGATGCCACTAAAGCGTAAGCAATCAAATTGCGGCTTTGAAGTTCTCTCTACAGCCTATTTATTTTCTTAAACTTGCTTCAGAGTGACACACTATTTCACACTCCTCCGCAGCCCGTATTTTTTCTCGTCATGAACCACTTGCTCTGTCTCCATTGTTTGGACTAGTGAGGCATCACACTCTCTCGTTACGCATCACACTCTCTCATCATGCATTACGCTATCCCCTCAAAGAGAGAGAGAGAGAGAGGGTGGTGCGTGACGACGCACGTAATTTTTTTAAGGGTACTAGCTGGAATCTAACAGATCCCTTCTTTTTATCCTGATGGCAGTGTTGGTGAACTATGGCTGGAGCGTCCACTGGAGACTGCTATGTTGCTTTCTTTAGTAGGTGTGGCTGGAGTTGTGTCAAATCAGTGGCACTGCCAGCTGTCTGACAATAAACAAAAACTTGATACCTACCTCAGTGGTAAGCAATTTTCTCTTTCGTAGTTCGTTTTTTGTTTTGTTTTTTTATCAGTGCTATATGTATGAGACCTCTGGTTCTTGAGACATTTTTTATCTTGTAAATAGAAGGGCCCCTTTTTAAGAATTAGGGCTAGGAAGATGATTGCTATAGATACAAAATATCGATCACTGAAGTAATTCCCAACGTGTTCGGATGATCCATTTTGTGGAGCCATATTGAATTGAATCCATCTTCTATTAGATAGTTTCAAACTTTGAATTGAAGACCACTTTGAAGCCTAATCAGTTTCCGGGAAAAGCTGACTTGTCTGAGTTAACCTTCGCTCATAACTGATAACCGTCAAGAAAGCATGAATCTGCCAAACCTTTAAGGGTCTTTAAAATCTTACGGATGATTTTCATAACATTATTTTTTACAACTTAAATGTCCACCCAGCCTTCGACCAGGAATGAAATATTCATAATGCTGTTTGTGTCTCAATAGCTACCGCGATTTCTTAACTACCTCAAATTGCTTTTACTCTCGACCTTCTTTTTTGCTCAAGTTCTCACCAAATCCATCGGAAATTTGGAAATTATCTTTTTCCTAGTTGTAACCTGAAGCTTATTTAACTACGTTACTCTCAGGCATGTTAGAAGCAAGTAAAACAGTTGGACAAGCCGTGAGAGGCTTGGCACAGTTTCCCAAACAACTCGATGTTATACCGGAAACTGACGCTGCATCTGATAGAGGCTCAAAATCTGGGCGTCATGTCGACATAGAAGGGACTGGTGACGAGCAAACAGCTGTGGAAGAGGAAGAGACTGGCGGAAAAGAGGAAAGAAATAAACCTTTATCATTCTCAAGACACTGGTTTAACACAGTGTTGTATGGTGCACCTACACTTCTACTGAATCCGCCCAAAGGGTTGTAGAAGTTGACTCAAACCCGACATAGTTTGCTCCGGCAAATTTTGTTTGTCAATCCAGTGTGACTAATATACTTTTTTGCCACAAAAGTCGTTTTCAACGACTGATATAAGATTAAGTAGACTGTCGTTTGTAAAATAAGAGAGTCTTTATTTAACAACATAATCAGTAATGTGTTTGATCTGTTACAAAAAACAACCACATCCAATCAACCGTGCCGCTCGTAATTTTATTTCCGAGCGAATCTATTCATTTAAGCTTCGATTGACAGTTTTTTTTTCGGATTTGATTCATTTTTTATGGAAATTATTCGAGGTGGCAACTGTTCACGTTTGCTTCATTTTAAAACGAGATGAAAGAAAGAACGACCCCTCAAAAATGAGGTTTGTAAAGCACCAGCGTTCATTTGATGTAAATAATTTGCGCTTTTACACAGGAACACCTGTGAACTGAGCAGCTGGATTCGCACTCATAACCTGCGGGACAACAGTGCTTCCCGTCATTACACGGGATGGCCTCTGGGTTGTGCAAGCAACAGCCCTTTCCTGTTACAGAGAACAGTGAATCACAACACGTGCTATTATAAGGACACACTGTCACCACTTTACCAGACTTGTCCTCGCAAGAAACAGGATTTCCTCTCGCTGTTTGCTGAAAAAGAGAAGCAATGATTAATATAGTACCTTTTGCAAAATAATGTCCAATGGAACCGATATCTTGGCTGGTGTGGGGTTTAGATTAAGATGGGTCATGTAGGCTGACGGTTATACGCAATTAGCAATGCTTAATCTTTCATTTGTCCTATGGTCGCGACAAGACGACAAAACGTCCTGTAAAATATCAACAATTGGCACAATTTGACTTAAACGTTACTGAACTTAAATGATTAACAAAGTTGTTCCTTTGAATGTTGATTACAATTTACTCCTGAACGATGTATTATAACGAATGACCATAACCAAGAAGGAATATTATTACATCGCGGGCAGTGCTGGAGGGCAATATGAAGCGAATCCTGTGCTCTAATTGGATACCCGAGCGGGCATGATAGGCGGGATTACCCGCTTTGATCCTGCGCAAAAAATTAGCTGGAGTTGGCACACAAAGTTTGTAATTTTTTGAATATGTCGACGGTAGAGTCAAAAGCCGACAGAGCACAGTCAAAACAAAGAAAACATAAACGACTCCCGTGGGTTTATTGTGCTACAAACAGTTGGCTTTCTTTCCTGTCTCTCGAAATAAGCAAATCATGGTTCGTAATAAAGCGATGATTTTTTTGGAATTTAATCAATCTTTTATTGACAAAACTTGTCAAATCAAGGTGACTGGATATTAGCCTTATTCCCTTTTTCCGTTTTACGAGCTGCGACTTCGTCTTGGTCCATAAAAAGTCAAACAAAGAAAAGAACTCGGCCAATATCCAGCCATCTTGACCTCATGCTTGATCAATATACTGTACCTGCGGGCGAAAATGGTGGGCGTTTTGATCAATCCCTCGAACAAGATCCAAAATCAAATCTTTGACCCTTATACTTAAATACTCATATCCTGGTTGTGTGTAGTGCGGGCTCGGCTGTTCTGCAGCAATGATGCAGCTTTCGTAAGGTGGCTCTCCACAGGCGTCTGTGACCCAGGTATACAGATCAGCGGTCACTACTGTTGGAAATGTTTTCATAACAGCATCCGCTAAGCGGTTGTATTGTTTAACTCGGTTGTTGAGTGTGACACTGAAGGGAACGGGTGTTGTGAGAACGAATCCAACTTTGGCGCCAGTTGATAACAGTATGGAGGCTATAGAACGTAGATTTTCAGCATATTCATCTGGTTCGACGTATTCCTCTGGGCTTTTACCGCTGAAGTTTATGTCATGCATACCAAAATTGAAGATGATAACGTCATATGTTGTTGGTTCCAACATGGAAGTCTGCAGAAACATATCTAGACACTGCAAGCCATATTTGGAGTCCAGGGCTCCTCCGTCGGTAACATCCCAAGGAGCGTGCTGAACTTGATAGTTATCACCTAACATTTTAATAACCCATGGCGTGTAACTAAAAGATGGAAAAAAGGAAGGAAGAGCCTCTCAAAATTGATTAAATTTTAGCGACGTATGGTGTGTAACTAATAGATGAAAGAAGGAAACAAAGGGCCACCCGAAATGGCAAAAAAAAGGCAAATGGTTATAAACAAGAAGACAGTAGGTGACATTAGCTAATGGTAGGATATCGGTTCACTAATCCCTCTCAACGAAACGCCTCCTTCTTTTCCTGCCTAAAAAGGGAAAACAGCAGCACGATTCTTCCTGTCCTTTGCTTACTCACTTCTTTCCTTCCGCGTTTCGTTCGCGTTTGGGACCTCTGTGGTAAAAAGTCTAGGGTGAAAACCGTAAGCGGAGAGACGTAATTTTCTGAACCATTCGTAGATTTCGAGTTATTAAATCTTCTATTTCAGCGAAGAGCAAGGAATTTCCTCCTAGAGGACGGTCATTTGACACTTCCGGATAGCTTACTCAATGCTTGAAGAGGCACCAAGGCAGTTTCCTATCTAAACGCTATTTTTGGCGCCGCACCTGGTTTACAGATTCTTTCGGGAGGTATTATTGACTAACAGCCAACAGAATTCACCAAAAGGCTGATGATAGCCGTAAGGCACACATACAGGATAAAGTCGGAAGCGTTCTTGAGGTCCTATATACCTTAACATTAATTTGGATCACTCTCAAAGTAGGCGAGACAGGAAAAGTTTCCAATAGATTTCCGGTTGAAGATGAGGTCCTCAATGGGGTTAACCGTCAGCCGTACTACGGCTTTAGCCTTTAAGCGTAAAAATTGACAAATCTTAACCCTTAATCGTAAAAAAGTTAACTGAGAAAACTTTTTCTTTTAATTAAAATGGAAAGAAATTAACTGTTAGCCGTAAAATGGCCAAAATTAGTCTTAACCGTCAGCCGTAAGAGCTATCACCCCATTGTTCCCCAGGTAAAACAGCCTCTGATTCAAAAACTTTGCATTATCTTTTGTTTACCTCCGACATCAATTAGTTTCTTTAAGCAAGAACCTGTTTATGCCCAGACGTGGTTGAAAAATAGCCCGCGTTTTCATACAATCTTACAATCCCGAGATGCCGGGGTAAAGTTTCTCGAGGTTGTTATCGCATAAGGAGATTAAGATGCCACCACGGCGACGTGTGGTAAAACGTTGCCGAAAAAACGTAATTTATTTTCTTCTAAGATTTTCGCCTATAGCCCAATGCGTTAACCGTTTCTGACGGTATAACGTCTCAACTTCGGCACAACATGCGAGTGTAGTGTTCAGTTCAAAGTACAAACGTGACGTGACTAAAACGCTGTCGAGGTTTCATTATTGAGAGGACGTAAAGACATTTACATGGCAAATGCTCACCCCACTTATCATGTAAACGTGATTGAGATAAAACAAGAGATTTTAAAGATGGGCGGGTTACCCCACTTAGGCGGGTTACGTGGGGTCCCCATCTTCATGTAAACAGGCCTTAAAACTTTCAGATGACTGAAAGCTTGGGAAGGAGGTTATACCGAAGCAAGAGAGATAGGAGCTTATAAATTAATCTTAAAATGACTATAATTTTCTATTTTCTTATACTTTTTACATTTATATAAATTCCTCTTATCAAATTACGCAAGAACTTAAAAAAGATTAAAGTTTGCTGATTCTCCTGTCATCAGATTTGACCTTTCGAGTTTAAACAAACGATTGCAAGAAAACAAAAGGATTGCTCAACATTTGGGCGCAACGAAACAAACAATGTCAAACAATCAAAATAAAGAATAATTTAAGAAGTTATCGAATTAAGAACAAATGAAGCAAAGGAAATATTAATAAGTGATAAGTTTGAGTGTTCTTATCATCTTTTTTCTGAATAACGTATGGATATTTTAGGGATGTTAATCACTTCTGGGATTTTAAGGGTTAAGTAGACGTGTGCTTAATGAACTTAAGTGCAGTCACGCACAATTTGTGACCATCGCCGATGTTCAGATGTGTCAGGGCGAGCCAAAAGTTACACTCTTGTGTCAAGCATCCATAGTATTTTTCACCAGAATACTAGAATTCCTCCTGTTTCACAAACTTCCATACATTGTCAATTCTGCTAAGTCATAATGCAAACTGTTACGAGTTCGATGTTGTTAATGAAGCCGGACATTACAAAGGGTTGGCGAAGCCAGCCACTGAAATATATGAGGCAGCGAGCTAGAAATTTACCCAAAGGTGAACGCATATTAAAATTAATCACACATAACAGGAAATTAGAATTTTCTAGACAATATGGTCCAATTTTTGGTAATAAGAACTAGAAGTCGTCAGGACAAAGTTAAGTTACGAATAATTTTTACGATTCCTTCATCACAATTTAAGAACAACATCAGGATCTACTAAAAGATCATGGTGATGTCTTTGGTAGATCAGTTGAACATATCATAAGACAGTCAACAATTAACTTATGGAAGCACAGGCGGCGCAAGCCCCAGCTGCAGGTGAGATGATCATCTTGCAAAATAAGCGTCATGGCGAAATTATAAGAAGAAGCTTCTCCAATGTAGTAAACCTAGAAATGGATAACTCGCTAAAAATGGGTTCTCTTTAACATAGCAAGCGGTCAGATAACAAGCAATGCACTGTGAAAGTAAAGTGAGGTATTTTTATTGAGAATTTGACTGTATTTTTTTATTCCTAAGAGCGGTCGTAAATATTCTCATAAAAACTCTTATCGCCATGACTCTTATTTCGCAAAATAATCATCTCACAGCTGGAGCTTGGGCCGCCTGTGTTGGAAGAGAAACTGAAAAAACAGATGTCATGTCGCTTAAAATATGTATGCTCTCTGTAATTTGAATCAGTGATAACTGTCCACAGCGTTTCTCTTTCTGCATATTTTGGCTAGTTCCCCTTAACATCATTGTGAAACGGGTTGCACTGAATGCGAAACGGCACTAAATTAATTGAAAAAGACTCATTGACGCTTACCCGATGCTTATAGAATCACCGATAACAAGGCAGTTCGTCTTGTCGAGCGATGCCTTCAGCTGTGGACCTGGTTTACAGATTCGTTCAGCAGGTATTATCGATTGATAGTCAGCAGAACCCAACAAGGGGCTAAACGAAGCCATAAAGTATGCATACAAGGTG